AAACGATTCTGATGGGTAGCTCAGTTGGTTAAGCATCTGCCTTAGGCTCAGGTCATGATCCCAGGATCCTGAGACTGAGCCCCCATGTGGCTCTGCTCAGCAGGGAGCCAGCTTCTCCCTCTCCCCCTGCCGGCCACTCCCCCTGATTGCGCTTGCCTATGGGTGTGCACAAGTACGCTCTTTGTCAAATAAATAAAATCTTTAAAAAAAAAAAAAAAAGTTTGTGATAAAAATCACAGATTGAAACCTGCCTAAAAATTTCATTCCTAGATCTTAACTTAATTTTGCTTACTTATATTTTCTATTGACAACCTGTATTCTATTTGCAACCAACAGTCCAGTAATAAAGCCCTCTGAAACCTGTATCTAGCAGAGAGGGATTAGACCAACTCAGAAGTAAATAGCATGGTATATGGGTTAGGTTGTTTATAATACAGCTTCATTATCTTGAAGTATTATGAATTCTCAAACTATAAAATATCTTCAAATTACCATATACACAGTTTTAACATTTGGAAATTGTTAAAATTTCTAAAAACTATAAAAAGGCAAAAAAAAGTTTCCCTTGTATCAGTTCCCATTACATTACAAATGCACTTTTTCCAGATAATCTGCCTTTATGAATTAAATCAAAGAGTTTGGATGATTACATTCGAAGTTCATAAAGGACCAAAAGAGTAATATATCTAACCCATTTGAAAGTGATATGGTTCGGTCTTTATAATTTTTATTTTAAAGGTTGTACGAAGCTAGATTATGAGGCTGCTGCAAATCCGGGAAATCTATCAGAGGCATAAGATGGAAAATAAAAGAGAAAATGAAAAGACAAAAGTAAATATATTTTCCATTTTGTACAACCATTCAGTAGTAATGTAATTAAATTTAGTTAACCACTAGTTAACTACTTAATCATGCAAAAGTAACCATTCAGGTTTATCTCTCTACATGATCTCTCTACATGAATCACATTATTAATGTGATTTCTAGACCTTTCAGTAAATTACTTGTTAAAAAGTAAAAGTACTTTTAATTAAAAATTACATTAATTATGATTGTAGAATCTTAGGCACTTAACTGAAATTAAGGCAAGGATCACTACAGAAGTATTAAAAATGGTATAGAAAAGCAGCTCTATCAAAGTTTACCAAAGACTGAGATATTGTGCCTGGACATGCCTACTCCTTAGTTGTGATTAGTGTGTCTGATTCTTTTCACCTCAATCTATCTGGATGGTGTGGGGATGAGAGGATAACAGGAAGCTTTTTACACAAACACAAACCTCTCTCCTGAGACATCTTCTGAGTGATGTATTAACACATTAAAATCATGAGAAACCTTTCCAAAATTACAATGATATATATACATACCCTTTCAATACAAAGCATTTCTCATTATCATTGATGGCATATAGCTTTCTTCACATTCTTTTCCCTTTCACAGAAGAACTCAATTACAAACACTACACAACTACTGATGCAATATAAAGTAATTTCTCCCAAATTCTCCTAATGTGATCAATTTTCTATGTATAGAAAATGTATACCATCAACTTGCATGACAAAGAGTCCCAGTGTCTAATGGGCTTAACACTCATATCTCAGTCATGGCTGCATGGCCAGGAAAATGAACATCATGATGGACTCCTGCATTCTTCACATTGTGCTCATGGACAAAGTCAGTGTAGTTTCTATGTGCAGGCTGGGGTGGGGACAAGGCCCTTGTGTTCCACTGGTTTCCACCACGTTGACAGCAGTCACTGGCAGCAGAGAGCCTGGATGGTTGGGGAGTGGGAGGGGAGCACAGTTAGTCAACAGGAATAGGAGAAAATGGATGTGTAAGAGGTAATAAAGGAGAAGGGCAGTGTGACCTGCATGCAACACTGCTGTAAGTAGTTATTGACATTTACTCCATGCAATGACATTCAAACATAAAGGAGGGGGGTAGAATCCAGAAAGTTATATGTAGTGGAAAAGCTCAATATGCAAATATGAATAAGTAACCAGAGTCAGTTTAGTGAATTAAATAAAGAGGAAATTTCACAGAGAACAAAACACTCTATCTGTCCCTGATGCTGGTATCAAATTCAAAGTCAAAAATGAAAAAAAAAAAAAAAAAAAGTTAAAAATGTTGTTTGAAGTTCTAATGAAAAGGAAAATATATTTATAATCTACTTAATTCAAATATTTAAAAGGACACTTCTACATTATGGACAAAAGCATATATAGAAAAGAGTAATTGTGAAAATTATTTCCCAAATTAAGTGATTTCACAAAACTGAAATCCAGGAAACAAAATTCAGAAAGAACATTAAAAAAAAAAAAAAAAAAAAAAAACCAGGTAATTTTACATCAATGTTTCCAATTAACAATGGAGAATCATTGTTCCTTCTATAATCAAAGTTCACAGGACCTCAAAATGAAATCTGACAGGCACAGATAATGTGATAAGATTGTAAGCCCCTCCAAGAAACAGTTTAGTAAGTATATCAAGATACCCTTTTATCACACAGTGCTATAGAATAGGCCTACAAAACTATGAGATGGAAACATGCAGTTCCTGGTTAGAAACAGAGTCCTCCAGTAGAAAGACACATCTGTCACAGAACACCAAGGTTTTGTAACACAGCAAGAAGGGCAGTACATATTTAAGATCATTATAAACAAAAAAAAAAATCACCCCAATTATGTCTATGGATAAATTTTTAAATACAGTATTTTTCTAACTCAACTAAAACATGACTCCTCATCTTTTTTTCCTTCAGGAAACAGAAATTAGCTAAAAGGATTTTTCAGAACAAGCCTGAATGCTTTTTTACAATAAAATCGTATTTTCTTCAACAGATATAGAACTTGTTCACCAAATCTACCCCATAATATTCATGACCCTCTATGAAAATTTAGGAAATTAAGTTAGGTTTATGTTCTCCCTGATATATGCAAGATTTCCCAAATATTATTCAGTTTTGTTTTTGTTGTTGTTAATAAATGGTTAAATGGATTTAATAACATAAATTGTTTCTCAAAAGGTGATACTCTGAATATCAGATAATTCTACATTACTGATATACCAAATCATTCACTGAAATAATGGTGTCATTTAGAAGATATCAATGAGAGAATAAAGAACTGAACATGAAGTAGGTTTAGATTAAAATGGTTAGAAATTATCTACCTGGTAATAGTCTGTTATTCTGCCCAATTGTTCAAACCTTGGGAGCATTTCCATATTTTATTAACATCACTTTCTAAAGGAGGACTGTTTTATATTCATTTAAGAGCATTAATAACAATAAAAGCATGCAGAAACAAAAAGTGAAATACAGAATGCACTTTAAATTCAGGCTGGGGAATCCATTAGCTCCAAGACAGATCAGTTCTATATTCAGTTCCATGCCACTGCTGCTGACATACACTGAGGCTCATTAAGTTTTCAGGATCACCATTTTACTCCATTTCAGTAAAGGAGGTCTCAGCACAAATACATAACAGAAGGACACATAGCTCCAAATTTTTCATTTTCCTTAAAATTCAATACTCTCAGATTCAGTATTGTCTCTTTTAAAGGCTGTGTCAAAGGAACTACATAGTGCCTAATAAATTAAATAGATTTAAATATGTGCCCATTAAAATTAGAAAACTCAATAAAGATTTAGTATCGTAATATAGTATGCAAAACCCACCCCCCAGACTCTCATTCCGTATTAATATAAAAGGGGTAAGCATGTATTAAGTGAGTTCTTTTATAGTTGAAGTCTGGTTTCCTTGCCAATAGGACTTGGTGGTAACATCAAGGCCATAAAACATAGCTGCTTACTGGAGCTGTGTTTTCAATAAGAATTGAAGAAACTCTTTTTAATGGCTTATAAAAATAAAGACTAAAATTTGATATTTTAGAAGCCTCACTGTTCATACTTTAGGTGTGTGCCCACATGCACACACACACACAAAGTACTACTCTATCATAATCCCAGGTAAAAGGAAAAGAAAAAATAGATAAAGAAAAAAAATTCCTTCAATCTTAGAAATTAATCAAGTTATTTGGAACTGAAGTAAAAGTATGCCCAACAATGAAGAGCAAAGCACCTTGCAAGTTAGTTAAGCCAAAATAACAGTGAAAAACAATTATATAGCAAAGACTGAAAATAATCACCAACCACTGTTGACCCACCACCATGAAGGAAGAACTGGTTGCACAGAAAGCTGACCAAAACCTTGAGATCACCACAGAAACTCATTAGATTTCAGGTACTTAACAAACTAAGAGCAAGAGAAAAAGAGAAAATTCCTATGAATTATCAAAGTTCATTTCATAGACACACAACTTGAACAGATGCAACCAAATGACCACTCAACCAAACAATTGCCCAGGAGCCCTCCAAGCCAAATGTATTTATTTGGGAAATGATGAATCCTACTGATTACACTCCAATAAGTCACAAAGTATTCATATTTGTGTACTAACTATGAATGTAAAAAAAAAAAAAGACCCTGGAAATCTAAACAAATAAAGTATCTTCTCTGTCATCAGATTATCTCTCCATCCCCCAAAATGGAATATTTTAATGCTTTGGTTTATTTTAGGTTATAATCATGATTCCCTTTGGCTTATCTTCAGTCTTTAATGAAAAAACACATCCAAAATCACTAGCATTATGTTGTGTGGAACAGATGAACATATTTCCTTATTGATACGAAAAAAGGTTCTACTGACTAGCATTTAAAGTCCTTTTCAACAGAGAACCACCCACCACTTCCAATCATGCTAACTAAAATAAGGAGAGATGTCTGATGTTCTCCAATTAAATAACTGCATTCCCTTCTTCATACATATCCCTTATTTTCCCAATCCCAATATGACTGCTCAGTAATATGTTTCTGTTCAGCTTACAAATATGAATAATTTGCTTTCAATCATATTTAAAATATTCTAAGATTATGGCTGGGAATTTAGAATACCATTAAGCAAGCAACATTTTATTCCGGTTTAAAGAGTTAACAAACCATTTCCTGTCATGCTGGTCTATTCCAGGATTCCTTGGAAGATTCTCTCTCTCTGCCAGCACAGGACCAGAGGGAACAGAAGGAATCACAGGCAGAGTAGATTTCACATCCCAAGCCTGTGGGTTATAAAATTATAAAAATCATCCATTTTGCCTGACAAAAGATTTCATCACCAATAAACAGAACATTAAAATGGAATACTACCTAGGAACATAGTGCAAACAAATGCTTGAATGTTATGTACTACCTCATAGATAAATAATAATCTAACTAAATATTAGTATCTTATTCATTATATAGGATTTACAAGAATGGAAAATGTTCTATGGAGCACCTGTTCTATTTACAACATCTCATAATAGCAGAGGGTTTCATTATCCACTTTACGGATTAAAAAAAAAGAAAATGCACAAAAGTTTCCCAAAGTTATACCACTTAAAAATTCAATTAATAATACCACTATCTATCATAACTGACTAATGTTCTAGTGTTTAGAAGCTTAACATGATCTCACCTGTTGGGAGCCATTACTCTGGGTTGAAACATTATTGTGAACACTGTAATAAATAAAAATATATATTAAAAAACTATATATAAAATTCAAGGGCTTCACACTGTAAAATTATACATACAGTAATGAAAGTAGCTTTATTTTTAAAGTAATTGTTTTGCTGCAAATAAAGAAAATTACTGTTGGGGGGCACCTGGGTGGCTCAGGGGGTTAAAGCCTCTGCCTTCAGCTCAGGTCATGATCTCAGGGTCCTGGGATCGAGCCCCGCATAGAGCTCCCTGCTCAGTGGGGAGCCTGCTTCCTCTTCTCTCTCTCTGCCTGTCTCTCTGCCTACTTGTGATCTCTGTCAAATAAATAAATAAAATCTTTAAAAAAAAAAAAAAAAAGAAAAGAAAATTACTGTTGGAACCTAAAACTAAGAATGCCAAAAAACATTTGCTTTTATAGACAAATACTTGTTTTTCTATAATCTGCTCATTTGAGATTTCCATATACCTATATTTTAATTGTGCTTAAAATATGTAGTTCACTACTAATCTTGTTTATTCATTGGACAGTATCTGTCAAGGATGGCAAAATGGAGAGAAGCACGCATGATACCTTAAATTCAAGGCATTAAGCACAAATATCCACATAAACTTATCTGTGTCACTTCTTTTGTATATTACTACCCTCTCAAGATATTCTAATGTCAGCAATAGCTCAACATTTTATAACTCAAAAGGCCTTAGTATAAACTTGATTTCTAATTTTAACTGTATACTTTCAACTCAAAATGATTTATAAATATGTGTTTAAATTTTTAGTTTAGGCTGTATTCATTTCCCTCCTCCACCGCCTTCCCACAAAAAAGCACTTAAACTCAGTCAAAAACAAAATAAATTTAAAAAAACCTCATAAAAGCTAAAAAAGAGAACAAATATTCAATGAAGTAACTCAAAGATTACATATGATCACAACAAAATGATGGGAAAAAAGAGTTAGTGGACTTCAGACCTTCTAACATAAGCGTACATGCATCCTGAGGTAAAAAATTCAACTAAGATAACTGAAATATGTTCAAAGTTTTACACACACACACACACACACACACACACACTCCTGAAAAGTGAGAAAATAATTTACTAATTTAATGCGAGCACTACGTTCCAGGAAAAAGAGATAGGGAATTAAATGTATTCAATCCTTTATTTTTAAATTATTGTCTTTCAGGGATAAGGAAAGAACACTTAAGGCACCCCAAGGAGATTAAAAGGAAACCACTGCCAGTACCTAGCTGGCACAGATCTCTTCATAGAAGTATTTAAGAATATCATACCCAGGGACGCCTGAGTGGCTCAGTCAGTTAAGCACCTGCCTTCGACTCAGGTCATGATCCCAGGGTGCTGGGATCGAGTCCTACATCTGGCTCCTTGCCCAGCAGGGAGCCTGCTTCTTCCTCTGCCTGCGGCTTCCCCTGCCTGGGCTCTCTCTCTGACAAATAATAAGTACCTCTTTAAAACAAATAAGCAAAAAATATTATACACAGCCAAGATGTCATTCTAGTAAAAGGAAATGGGCAGGGGTGCCTGGGTGGCTCAGTTGGTTAGGTATCTGCCTTCAGCTCAGGTCATGATCTCAGGGTCCTGGGATCAAAACCCAGGGAGCCTGCTTCTCCCTCTCCCTTTGTCTCCCCCTGCTTGTGCCTGCTCTCTCTCTCACGCACATAAATAAAATCTTTAAAAAAAAATAAAAAGGAAAGGAAATGGGCAAAACTTCTCAAACGAAACTCTGAATACAGCATCTAGGAGCCTTTCTTACAGGGGTGGGAACAAAATAAAAACAATCTGAGGAAAGACAACCAATCAAGAAAGAACTCAAGAATGAAGAGGCTGGGGCGCCTGGGTGCCTCAGTTGGTTAAGCGTCTGCCTTCAACTCAGGTCATGATCCCAGCGTCCCGGGATCAAGCCCCACCATCAGGCTTCCTGCTCAATGGGAGTCTGTTTCCCTCTGATGCTCCCCACTGAATTTTTCAACTACCCAACCCCCCGCTCATGATCTTTCTCTCAAATAAATAAATAAAATCTTAAAAAAAAAGAATGAAGAGGCCTTGCTAAAGGCTAGGTGATGAGAAGTGAACCCATTTTATATCTTGTTTTTTATTACCTATATCTCTATTACAAATTGAGTCACCAGAACTTGCAGTAGCCTGGGTTCAAATCCAAGCAGTGCCACTATCACTAGTTCTACTCTCTAAACCTCAGGTTCTTTATTTGCATGAAACTGTTAGGAGGATTAAATGCGTGTTAACATTAGCAAAACACAAAGAACAATGATAATAAAATTGACCAAAAAAAACAAACAAACGTAAAAAGAATACTGGTTAGTATATAACTGTTGTCAACACAATTGCAAAGAATATACCTGTCAGGCACGATTTCTTTTGGCTAATGTTGCTGCTCCCAGAACACATTATGCTGGTTTAAGTAACCCATGATCCCAGATATTATGAAATCTCATCCAATCTGCTGGATGAGGCCCTTGGTTACCCTTTGAAGCTCTTCCTTTAACTGAGAATAACTCTAGCAAGCGATAAATAAAATAATGAATAATGAATAATTATAATTATATGAATAATGAGTAATGATTATTCATTAATAATAATAAATGCATAATAACATGAAAAGTGCTTATAATATATGATTTTAATGAGATCATAGCCCCGTTTTCAAATAATTTGAAATGTAGGAAGCATTACTTTCTCATAATTACACACATTCTTCACTTCCACTAACACACAAGTAGGAATGAATACTTCTCATTACTGATCTAATTCAAGCTTCCCCTTTCAAAGGACTATCTGTAATAACTGACCCCTTTGATCTTATACTCTCTGTATTCATCACTTCCTCCTCCATTCCTTTTTCTCCTCTCTTTTCTATCTTCAAGATTCCAGCAGCTAAGCCTGTAAAAAAAGTACTAATCACTGAAATGTGATCTATTCTTTACAATGTCACCTCTTCTTAGGATATTTTTTATTACTCAAGACCCATGGGGAATAGTTAGGAGATAAAATAATATAAGGAAAACCACTGACATCAGCCAATTTAAAAACCTGTTACTCAAATAGGCACAGTACAAGGTCAAGAAGCTTTTTAGGTCAAATAGCTGTGCTTTTTCAAACAGTACTGCTTTCCATGGTTCATTGGAGCAAAACTGTTCATGCAAACAGAACTACAAGGGCAAGAATGAAAGGGCATTCATGCCAGTCCAAACTCAGGTTCTCTCAAGCAGTGTTATAAAGAGTATTAAATAACCTTCAGGAGAGCTGGGTCCCCCTCTACATTTCATATCTAAAAGTTTATTGTAAAAAATAAGAACTAAGTATCATTGCTTACATATCCCATTTCTGTTGTGTTTTCCAGAGGCAAAGCATTTTTCAAGTGAAGATAATAAAACTTCGTTATTAAAATTAAATTAATCTTAATTCTAAGAAAGAGACTATATAGTCATACTTAAGTTTTGGGTCAGAAATGTGTACCTCAAAAAAAAAAGTTTTTAAATTTTTTTAAAGATTCTTTTTTAAAGATTATTTGAGACAGAGAGACACAGAGAGAGAGAGGATACATGTGTGCCTGAGTGGTGGGGAGGGGCAGAGGGATAAGCAAACTCCCCACTGAGCAAGGAGCCCCAAACTGGGGGTGAGGACCCGGAGATCATGACCTGAGCCAAAGACAAGACACTTAACTGACTGAGCCACCCAGGCACCCCTCAAAAAATTTTTAAAGGACAAATCCTTGCAAATAAAAACCTGAATTTTTCAACTACATATTATTGCTTGAATAATATGTTTACATTTATGTTTACATTTCTGGTAAATTCACCAGGTTATCTTCCTTATTTTAAGCTCTAATATTCTGTCCAGTCTCCTTTTCAGGTAAGCAAGACATACTCCATTAAACAAAAAACAAACAAAATAGTTTTAAAAGTACAAAATACCTCTAACATTTTCCCATCATTTTTCTTAAAAGCATAGCCTAAAAGTAACTACAATGAAAGTAAAAGTGTACAATTCAGGAAAGATAGAAAACTTTACCTAATTAAAAATTCACAATAGAGAGCATAGCTCACTTCCTCCATACACTATTCATTGATTTATTTATTTATTCATTTATTTATTTTTATTTTTTTTTTAAAGATTTTATTTATTTATTGGACAGCCAGATCACAAGTAGGGAGAGAGGCAGGCAGAGAGAGAGGGCGAAACAGGTTCTCCTCCGAGCAGAGAGTCTGATGCGGGGCTCGATTCCAGGACCCTGGGATCATGACCTGAGCCAAAGGCAGAGGCTTAACCCACTGAGCCACCCAGGCGCCCCTCATTGATTTATTTTTAACAGCCTACTGACAGCTAAAGAAACTTCAGGAGAAGTGCTTTTGTGATGAATCACTAATCACAGCCCAACTTTACTGGTCTTCCAAGTTGGAGGAAAAATGCATCTCAAGGAGACGCTAACCATACTCAGTACCTCAAATCAAACGATTTCTCTTTTTGAAGACGCTCTAGTTATACATCCACTATATAAGAGTAGACCAATTCAAGAGTTAACTAGATTTGTTAAGTATGTCCTGAATCTGATACTTTGATGGACATTCCAGGAAACTGACACATACCAATAGTTAAGCATTATATGAAACTATACATTGTAATATGTACTATTAAAATTAATTGAGTCACCAGAAGTAGAACTTCTGGAATGGTGGTTTGAGGACTCTCTACCCAGTGAAACAAACATTTATCTAATGAAAATTATTTTTATTTTATTATTTTTTTAAGATTTTATTTATTTATTTGAGAGAGAGACAGTGAGAGAGAGCACAAGAAGTAAGAAGGTCGGAGGGAGAAGCAGACTCCCCATGGAGCAAGGAGCCCGATGTGGGACTCGATCCCAGGACCCTGGGATCATGACCCGAGCTGAAGGCAGTCGCTTAACCAACTAAGCCACCCAGGCGCCCTGAAAATTATTTTTAAAAACAATCATGAAAAAGCACACATTAGTGAATAAACATTTATTCAAGAAAATCTACTAAATCTCATAGCTGAGTCTGGCATTTGAGCCACAATTTGCTCTCATTCCCCATTCCCCCAAGTTCAATGTGGTGAAAGCTTTACTCCACATGAGTGTGGCCAAAAAGATGGAACTCTCTCTAGGCAATCCACTTAAATCAGCTATTTTAAATACATGCAGGAAATTAAAAAAATCTAAAGAAATAAGTATAGGAACACGGTCTCCACTAAAGGAAAATATCATTAAACAGAAAATTTATAAATAAGACTCAAATAGAAATTCTCGACTTGAAATGTACAATAACAGAAATATAAAATTCACTGAAAGGACACAACAGGAGATTTGAGCAGGTGGAAGAATCAATGACTTGAAGACAGGTCACCTGAGATTATCTAGTCTTGAGTAACAGAAAGAAAAAGAGTGAAGAAAAATGAACAGAGACTCAGATACCTGTGAGACACCATCACATGTAACAACAGGCATGTAATGGGAGTCCAAGAAGGAGAGGTAAGAAAGGAAAAGAAAGATCATTTCAAGAAATAATGGCTAAGAACTTCCCAAATTTGGTAAAAGTAATAAACCATGGAGAAGCAACCAGAATAAAAATGGACTGCCAATCAAACAAAATAGACTTCAAAACAAAAAAAAATTACTAGAGAAAAAGAGTGACATTTCATCATAATAAAAGAATCAAACAATTATAAATATATTTGCACTTAACAAAAAGCCCCAAAATACATGAAACAAAAACTGAAAGAATAAAGAGAGAAACAAACAACTCAATGACAATAATTGGAGACTTTAAAACCTTGCTCTTAATAATGGATTACTCAGCAAAAGGTTAATAATGAAATAAAAGTCCTGAGCAGTATAAAACCAACCAGATCTAACAGACATTTATAGAACATTACACTCAACACAGAATATACATTCTTCTCAAGTGCATACAATTTTCTGAGATACATCTTATGTTAAGCCATAAAAAAAGTTTCAATTAAAATGTATAAGGATCAACATCATACAAAGTATGTTTTCTAACCATGTGGAATAAAAGTACAAAAAATAAGAAGAAAATTTAAGATAGTCACAAATATGTGGAAATCAAGGAACACATTCCCAAGTAACCAAAGAGTGAAGGAAGAAATCAAAAGAGAAACTAGAAAATAATCTGGGATAAATAAAAATAAAAACACAACATACCAAATTTATGGAATGTTATTAAAGCAGTCCCTGGAGGAAAATCTATAGCAACAAATGTTTAGTATGAAAAAAGAATCAGGGGCGCCTGGGTGGCTCAGTGGGTTAAAGCCTCTGCCTTCGGCTCAGGTCATGATCCCAGGGTCCTGGGATTGAGCCCCAGGCTCAATCGGGCTCTCTGCTCAGCGGGGAGCCTGCTTCCTCCTCTCTCTGACTGCCTCTCTGCCTACCTGTAATCTCTGTCTGTCAAATAAATAAATAAAATCTTAAAAAAAATTTTTTTTTTTTTAATAAAAAAAAGAAAAAAGAATCAGGTGCATCTGGGTGGCTCAGGTGGTTAAGTATCTGCTTTTGGCTCAGGTCATGATCTCAGGATCCTGAGATGGAACCCCACATCGGGCTCCCTGCTCAGTAGTAGAGTCTGCTTCTCCCTCTCCCTCTGCCTCCTCCCCTCTGCTCAGGCTGTCTTTCTCTCTCTCTCTCTCTCTCAAATAAATAAATAAATAAATAAATAAATAAAATCTTTAAAAGAAAAAAAAAAAGAATAAGGGCACCTGGATGATCAGTCAGGTAAATGTCCAACTCTTGATTTCGGCTTAAGTCATGATGTCAGGGTAGTGAGAGCAAGCCCTGCATCGGGCTGCAAGCTCAGTGCAGAGTCTGCTTGTCCCTGACCCTGCCCACCCCCCAACAATAACATGCTCTCTCTCTCTCTCAAATAAATAATTTAGAAAAAAATAAAAAATAAAAATAAAAATCTCAAGTAAATAACCTACTTTCCCATGTTAAGACACCAGAAAAAGAAAAGCAAATTAAACCTAAAGTAAGTATAAGAAATGAAATAATGTATCAGTGGGTATAGAATACAACTCTTGATCTTGGGGTCATGGGTTCAAACCCCACATTGGGCATGGACCCTACTTAAAATATTAAAATTTTTAAAAAATTTTTAAAAAAGAAATAATATATCAGAATAGAAATTAATAAACTTGAAAAATAGATAAGAATCAAAAGTTGGCTCTTTGAAAAGGCCCAGAAAATGGGCAAACCTTTACCTCAACTGACCAAGGGGGGAGAAACCCCTCAAATCACTAAAATTAGAAATGAACAAGGGGACATCACTACCTACCTTATAGAAATAAAAAGGAAAAGGAAATAAACATGAACAATTGCATGCCACCAATCAGATAACTTAGATGAAATGGACAAATTCCAGAAAGACAGAAATTCCCAAACTGAGTCAAAATGAAAAATAAATCTGAATGGATCTGTAACAAGAGACTGAAGTAGGAATTTTTAAAACTTCATACAAAGAGAAAATCCAGGCAAGATGGCCTTTATAATAGTGAATTCTATCATATATTTAAAGAAGAATGTCAATTCTTTTATAAATTCTTCCCCCCAAAACAAGAAGGGAACACTTTCAACTCATTCTGTGAAGCCAGAATTATCCTGATACCAAATCAGGTGAAGAATTACAGGAAAACTACAGACCAGTATCTTTTATAAATATACACTATACAAATCCACAACAAAATGCTAGCGAACCAAATCCAGCAACATATGATATAAAGAATTATATACGATGACCAAGTGGGGATTATCCCAGGAATAAAATTAATTGCTTATCTGCAAATAAACCTTTGTTCTTTGAGCTTCTGTGTACAAGAACCCTAAATAATCTTCAGTGACAGGTCAATAACAAAAGTATGTCATTCTCATTATAAATAGCACCCCCACCCCTGCCTTTATTTCTTTAAACTGCTTTATTTTTCTTAGTGTCAATTTTATCTGGAATTATGTTTATTTTTTTCCCTGCTATATATTCCCAATGCTCAGGGAAACTTAACACGTTGACAAGTCTTCAACAAATATTTGTTTAATTAAGGACAGCAACTACATAAATGCTAAATTCTAAATTCTGTTCCTAAATTGAACTCACCTGAGTTCTTCAGGTTTTGCTGTACTTCCTGACAGAGGGAAAAAAAAAAGAAAATGTCCCATTAGTTTCCACTTACATGACAAACTGCTTCACTATTCATAAAAGTGTATCTAGGCAGTTTTTAAGCCATATTTCCCACTTACAGATTTAAAAATCATCACTTCACAAAATGTTCTAGGGATTCACATCATTAAAAATCAATAATGACAATTACTTCCATTTTAAAAATAAGGCAAAAAAATACCATTTTCTTTTAAAACAGAACCACCTGCAAGCCTCCTAGAGTGAGATAAGTGACAATAAAACACCATCAGTGGTGGGGCACCTGGGTGGCTCAGTGGGTTAAGCCTCTGCCATCAGCTCAGGTCATGATCCCAGGGTCCTGGGATCGAGCCCCACATTGGGCTCTCTGCCCCGCAGGGAGCCTGCCTCCACCTCTCTCTCTCTCTCTCTGCCTGCCTCTCTGCCTACTTGTGATCTCTGTCAAATAAATAAATAAAATCTTAAAAAAAAAACACTGTCAGTGGAAAATAAGGGTTAACTCACGGTCTCAAATCTTCACGAACTAAAATGGTTTCATTAAAAGGCATGTATTATTTAATTTGTACGCCAAACAAAAATTATGAATATAAATGAGTTTTATTATGCCAAACATCAGGCCATGGCAGATGTTTCTGGACAACTGGGATGACCTGAATCAGACATACTTAAAATTCCATCTGTAGTTTAATACAAACTCAGACAAAACTGAACACAAGTTTTAGTTTCTCAAGTGAATCATATTTTTTATTACATAATTAAAGCAACTTAAATATATACTGATGTTTAAATTTAAACTCTATTTTTAAAGAACCCTAATATTATAATGGTATATGAAATAATTTTTACTTAAAATTTATTCAACATATATAAGTGGGTTTTTTTTTAAGTTCTAAGGGTATTTGAGAGACTACTATTAATGAAATCTGGAAGTCAAAAAGAGAATGGAAAGTGTTACTCCACAAAACTAATGTTAATATGAACAAAACTGAATGCAAACTCAAAATAGTATCTGAATTGGGATTCACATAAAGTTTAATCTCAGCAACAATACAGGCAATTTTTTCTTCCATTTTGTTTTGTTCTTTTTTTTAAAAAAAATATTTTATTTATTTATTTACTTGAGAGAGAGAGAGAGTGGAATCACAAGGAGGGGGTAGGGGTTGACAGAGAAGCAGGAAGCCTGATTTAAGACTCAATCCAAGGACCCTGAGATCACGACCCGAGCCAAAGGCATATACTTGAATGACTGAGCCACCCAGGCGCCCTCCTTCTATTTTCTTACACTGATTCTGTCATAATCAAAGTTAATAAATAAGAGTACTTCAGTTGACTGAAGTAACTTCCTTTCAAGTAAACATTACCAGCACATGATGGACTGTTAAGGAAGAACAGTCTTTTGAAACAAGGTTGCATCTTACCCTTCATTTGTAGAGTTCTTCTAGAGTATCGTTTGCTGGGTCTTCTTTCAAAGGATGCTGATCTTCTTGGTTTATTGGTTTTTGTGGTCTGATATTCAGTTTTCCCACTAAAATAAATGAGGCATATTAAGAGGAATAAGACAATGTAAGGCCTACAGTAATCAGATACTCATGAGAGAAAGTCTACATTAAGTTTTTTCTTAAAAGAACCATCCTGAGCTTCATCCTGAAGGAACTACTACTAATAGCCTTGATGTCTCTCTTTACTACATCATTTTTCTTCCTTTAGGCTTTTGTGAAATACGCAACATGCAAATTATACTGTTTTTCCATAAGCATGCATGTGCCTAGGAATGTACTGAATAACTTTGGAATATCTGTGTTTTTATGCAACTCCTTTCCTCTCCCCATTCACTCACCTCATGCACAGTTTGCAATTAACTCAAGATTTTATTTTTTTCTAATTGTGATACACTTTTCAGAGTAATTTTCCAGAAATATTTAAAACTATTTTCCCACTCTCTTTGATTTTCACTTAAATTCTGTTAAGAAAATGCCTCCTCACTTGTAATATAGGTAGAATAGAAACTCTTACTTCATGAAACTCACACAATCAACTTGCCACAATATTGATTATTATCCATTCATTTTTTAAATCACAGTGACTCTCAGGGCATGCTTAAAACTAAATCAATAATCTACTATCAGGTAAACCAAAACATTTTTAACTTATGGCCAACACATAAGGAATCTATAAAAATAACATAACTTCAGGTTTATAAAAAACCAGAAATGTTACCCAGATTAATTTTCCTCTCAGTGCACACTAAATACCCTTTTTCTATATGGCATTCAGCTATTGCATGGAGACTCCTTAAAACTCTTATTATACGAATTGAAATTGGGGGTTAATTAATATATAAAGTACATGTCAAGAGAGATATAAAATCCATGATACCAGTACAATGCTTTCCTGTCTATTTCGGAAATTGCAACCAATAACAATACCACTTTGTCTTTTATTTTGGCCTGTAGAAAACATGGCGAACCACTTTATTTCTCTATACCTTGGTTTCTGCATCTGTAAAATGAGAGGTTAGCCTACACTTTTTGGCTTTATGAAAGAATGCAAGATATAGCAAGCAGCTATTGACATTCACCTGTATCTAAATCGTGATCCTAGTCGAATAAATCCCGATCGATGAGAACTCTTTTGGACCGGGCCTCGGAGACGAAAGAACGCATGATGTTCCACAGCACATTTCCATAAATGCTTGCATGCTTTTGGATGATCCAATCTAAAGACAAACGTATGCTCCTGCTCTTTGCCCTGAAAAAGAAGAGGATTTAAAGAGAGGTAATTACTAGCTCCAACAGTTCTGCTCCTTGTTACTCAGCTACAAATACAACCACAGCAATACCAAGAATCAAATAATAAGCAACTAGTTTCCTCCCTGAAACTCACTCTATAGCTACCTACATTAAAAGGCAGAGTTGAAATCAAGCGGTCCATTTTCACAGCCAATATAAAATTATTCTTAAAAGAGTCCTTTCTACTTATGTGATCTCATTTCTCAGAGAAACAAAAACTGAGGCTTTATTTGCCACACTTTGGGATAATATATAATTATAATATAAAGGATCATACAAGATCTGGCAATATGTATCAATAAACTTAAAAATGTGCGTGTTACTCATCACAGTAACCGTACTCGCAGGAATCTAATGATAATAATTAACATTCACAGGTACTTTTCTAAGGATTTCATATGGATTAATTCAATGAGCAGATACTATAATTAGCTCTGTTTTACAGATAAGGAAACTGAAGTTCAAGAAATAAAGCCCAAGGTCACAAAGAAGAAACCAGAATTTGAACCTATTTGTGCTCCAGAGCCTATCTGTAACAACTAAGCTTTACCACCTCTCTAAGGAAAAAGGTTTTAACACTAAAATTTATATTCAAAAGATTTTCTTCACAATCTCATTTATAATAGTAAAACTTGGCATAAAACCTGAAATGTCCAAAATGAGAGAAATTAACAAGTAAATAATAACATCTTTTAAAACTATACAAAAAGATAAATGAATAAATGATGACTGTAGTATTATTTATTCATACTACAGAATACTATATATATACCTTAAAATGAATGGACTGATCTACATGGCTACACCTGTTTAGGTAAAATAAGGAAACTGCAAAAAAGAAAAAAATATATATATGATTTATGCAAATTTTAAAACAATTCCACCATGTGTTATGATGTTTTTATATTTGGAAAAAGAAAGTATGAGAATGATACCCTCCAAGAATGATGGCCAGCTACAGAGAAGAAAGGGGACAAATCAGAGGGTTAGACCTCAGCTGTATTGAATACACTATTACTAATTTACCTTTCTAAGAGAGAATTCTAAAGCAGCAATGACAAAAACGTTAATCTAGATGAGTGACATGGATATTACATATAAGATTTTTTGCATTTTCCAGTATACTTTCAGTATTTTATAAATTAAACTATTTTGTTACTTTAAAACATTACATAAACTCTATATGTAGTTTTTTCATGACTCCAATATAGGCAAAGATTCTTAAATTTTAACACTCAGAATGTACTGACCAGAAAGGAAGAAAATTTATGAATTCTATTACTTTAAAATTAAAAATGCTCTATCCAAAACATACTATTTTTTAAAAAAGATTTTATTTATTTATTTGACAGAGAGAGAAAGAGATCACAAGTAGGCAGAGAGGCAGGCGGGCTGAGGGGGGTAGGGAAGCAGGCTCCCAGCTGGGCACAGAGCCCAATGGGGGGCTCGATCCAAGGACCCTGAGATCATGACCTGAGCCAAAGGCAGAGGCTTAACCCACCGAGCCACCCAGGTGCCCCCAAAACATAATATTAAGGGAGTCAAAGGAAGCCAAGGAGAAGATACTTACAACACATATTATCTGCAAAGAACTAATGTTCAGAATACATAAAGAACTTCAATGAGGAAAAAAGCACATGACCCAACAAAAAAATAAGCAAAAGACTTGAATAGGCACTTCATAAAAGAGAATACCCAAATATTCAATAAATATATAAATAAGTGCTAAACAGTCATCAGGGGAATGCACATGAAAACCACCCACATGAATTGCTAAAATGAAAAAAGAGAATACCAAACATTAGCCCAAAAAAAAAGAACAAAGGGAACTCTCTCATACTGCAGGTGAAAATGTATATGTATAATATGAATATGTATAATAATAATATGTATATGTATAAACACTTTTGAAGTTTGATAGTATCCACAAAAGCTAAACATGTGCTTATCCTAGCCTTTAGAGCAAAACTCCTAAGGGCTGTAAACTAACAACTCAAATGTCCATCAACATCAGAATGGATAAAAAAGCATGGCCTATAAGGAAAATGGAATACTATCTAACAGTAAAAGAATGAGCCAATTACAGCAACCTGCTACAAGAAGGGTGTGGCTCACAAATGCAATGTTTAAATACAGAAGTCAGACAAAAAGGGAACAGTCAGTCCAGTTTCACTTAGATAAAGTTCAAAACATAAACAAAAACAAATGTATGGTGTTAAAGTCAGGAGAATGGTTGTTACCCTTGGAGGCCTGTACCTGGTGGGAGGCACAAAAGAAAGCATATCCCTACAGCAGTGTTCTATTTATTTCTCCATCTGGGTGCTGGTCAACACAATAGGTTGTTTGTGAAAATCCAACAAGCTGCACACTTGTTTTTGCACTTATCTGAATATATGTTACATTTCAATAAAACTTACAAACAGAAAATACACACAGAAAAAAACATGGGAAAGCATGTTACCTCAAAGTAGGAAAAATCCTTGAAAGATTGCCATGAAAGATTAGTAAATTTGCCTACTTAAAATTTTTTTAAGTATGTGGCAAAAATCATAAGTAATGTTAAAAGACAACTATTATATAAAATATTTAGTTTCTATGACAAAGGGCAAAACCAGTAAGAAAAAGGCCAAATGACAAAAAGGGCAAGGATATGTATGAATAGAGTTTGGAGAAAAGGAAATACAAAGAACTCAAATATATGAAAAGATGTTCAACATCACTCATAATAGAAATAAAAATCAAACCTATAATGAAATTCCATTTTCCACCTTTCAGATAAAACTGTGACAATTCCCTCTGAGGAAAGAGGTTTATTTTATTTTATTTTTTTTAAGATTTTATTTATTTATTTGACAGACAGAGATCACAAGTAGGCAGAGAGGCAGACAGAGAGAGGGGAGGAAGCAGGCTCCCTGCTGAGCAGAGAGCCCAATGTGGGACTCGATCCCAGGACCCTGAAATCATGACCTGAGCTGAAGGCAGAGGCTTAACCCACTGAGCCACCCAGGCGCCCCGAGGAAAGAGGTTTAATCCTTAATAGGCTCTCTGTATCCAGGACGAATGCACATTTGAACCAGCAAATTCACCTCCAGGAAATTATCCTTACAGATACATGCCAATGTACAAATTCTTGCATATATAGTGAATGTTAATGAGAATTTATTAAACAAATTAGGGTACATCTATATAGAATATCGCGCAGTTTAGTTTTTTTTAAAACAAGAACAAAGAAGCATTCTATATAGTCATATGGTAAAGATTCCAAAAGTTATAATGTACAGTTTAAAAAGGATTAATACAGAACAGTCTAAAAGCATGGTAACTGTGTAAAAAAAACTGATAGACACATTTGTGTGTGCATGCGCATGTGTATAAAATACCTTCAAAAAGATACCCAAGAGGGGCACCTGAGTGGCTCAGCCTGCTTCCCCCTCGCTCTCTGCCTGCCTCTCTGCCTGCCTCTCTGCCTACTTGTGATCTCTCTCTCTCTGTCAATAAATAAAATCTTTAAAAAAAAAAAAAAAGATATCCAAGAATCTAATACTATTTAAGATCAAATCTAAAATGACACTGATGGGGCACCTGGGTGGCTCAGTGGGTTAAGGCCTCTGTCTTCGGCTCGGGTTGTGATCCCGGGGTCCTGGGATCAAGCCCCGCATCGGGCTCTCTGCTCAGCAGGGAACCTGCTTCCCTTCCTCTCTCTCTGCCTGCCTCTCTGTCTACTTGTGATCTCTGTCAAATAAATAAATAAAATCTTTAAAAAAAATAAAAATTAAAAATTAAAAAAAATATATATATATAAAAAATAAAATGACACTGATTGTAAGATGCACAATTATCTTATGGCCCAAATAAGAACGAGTGTCACCAATTAAATTATCACCATATTTCTCTATCACATAGAATTGTATTTTATTCTTCTTGAAGAACTTCTTTAGGTTTAGAGACAAATATCACTGAATCATGCATGTGCTTATATAAAAAGGAAAATTATTTGTAAAATAAATTTTTAGATGGGAAAACTGCCTCTTCTGAGTCATTATCAATTCACCTCTTGATAATACAATGATCATCCTCTGTATCATCAAAAGACTTCCTTTTAAAATGCTCTATTGCTTCTATGATTTTCTTCTAAGCAGTGTGATAGGGCAATCCTTTGCATGTATCTCGGTAATAAAACTTGAAATTTGCAAAATTACAATTTTATTTAATTTTCAGAATCTTCTTTTAGGTTCCCTGCTAAGTAGTCCTTCTCACTCATCATTGTGCATACAAGTCTTTTTGACATTTGCCCAACTTGCTTTTAATCTATATATATGTTTTTCAATTTATTTCTTTGCATGCAATAAAGTTACTTTTATTTATTCACGATTCTGTGAATTTTGACAAATGCAGGGAGACTACAAACTACCACCAAAATCAGGTTACAGAATAGTTCTCTCATGCCCCCAAATTCTCTATGCTGTTCCTTTGTAGGCAAGCCTCCCCATTCTCCCTAATCCCAAACAATCAGTGATCTGTTCTATTACTACAGGTCTGCCCTTCCCAGATCATCACATAAATGAAACCATACAAGTCATAATGTTCCAAGTCTGGCTCCTTTCATGCATAATGCATTCAAGATACATCCATGTTCTGTGTATCAATTAGGAGCTAGAGCTAACAAAAAAAGTAATTCTTAATTTAGAAGGCTTTATTAAAAAATATTAGACTTGAGTTACCATACAACATTGTCATTGTTAAAAAAGTAATGCAAAGTTCCTACCTGATCATCATCTTCTACAACCACAAGGGTTAATTTATTCTTCTTAAAATCCAATCTGGTTATCTTGGGCCTATAATAATATCAGAAGAAAAGCCAGATTTCAAATAAATGTCCTCTAAATAAAAAGAAAATGTTTGTTGTTACTTTTAGCACATTAACCATCTTAATTGCTGAAATGAAAACTGATAAGCGGGTAAACATAACCTGTACTGCCCACCAACAAAGCCTCTGATGTATAACAGAAAAAAACATTTCAAAAGCAGTATCGCTAATAAAACCAATGCAGCACATATATCAGACATTAAAAATGTTAAGAAAAAAAGAAAATGAGGAAACCCATATGTATATTTTATAGACTGCCAACTATAGTACAGGAGAGTCTCCAGGCCTAGTGTAAAGCACTAACCAACATAAGAACTATATACAGGAAAGACTATAAGGCTTTGTTAAAAGACATAAAAGAAAAATTCTTGATTAGGGCCTTCAACTCTATTTTCTCTATCAATTTTGGTTTGAGAAGTACATCTATAATTTAAAAAAAAAAATTTTAAAGCCTCACTCTATGGCCCCTTTTCCAACCGTCTCCCTGTACTGAAATCCTCAACAACCTACCACATATGAACTCTGTACTTCTATGACCTGTGAATGTCAAAACAAAACTTTCATTCTAACTTTCAAATATAACCTATACAAAAAATATAATTGCAAGACACAACTTGTTTACAAAAGGTGTACCAAAACAGTAAGCATAATAGGTAGAGGAGGGGGGGGGAAGAGCTAGCACTTATTTAAGTGTAACAAATACTTATATAATGCCTATGAAGTATCAGATACTCTTATAAGTGTTTTACATGTATTAATTCAAATGATTCTCACAACAACCTTAAGAGGTGGTACAAAAGATGCTTTCTTTATCTTACCGCCTACAGCATTCTCTGGTCATGAAGTGTGTTCCGTCTGCCCGCAGGGGCAAGCTGGAACTGTCAGAGAATTAACAATCAAGGACTGGGTAAATAAATACCCCAGAGCTCCTTGACCTATCAAGAGACAATTATGAAGATGTTCCACTGAAGTCTCTCAGAAAGTCCCTAGCAGAGACACCTGGATTCAAAAATAAATATTATCTCCAACTTTTTGAGAGAAATATTATCTTCAACTTTTTGAAAGAAAGTAATTTTCAACCTAAAATTCTCAGTCCAATTATCAAGAAAGCATAAGAGAATAAACAATTTTAGGGTATCCAAGGATTCAAAGAATTTACCTCCTACACCCCACTTTGCTCAGGCAGGTACTTGAGGAAATAGATCAAAATTACAGGAATAAGACACAAAGGATCCTAGCTGAGAAAACAGATTAAAGCTGCAGAGTAACCTGAAGAGCAGACAGTTCCAATTGGAACAGAAGAATCATTCAATGCAACTCTGAGGATGTGAAAGAACGTAAGGCTAAGACAAAGGCAGATAATGCAAAAAGGGTTGTGTGGGGTGTATGAGACTGGCGGGTCGGGGGGAGCCAGGAACTCTGGGAAAAACAAAAACCTATACAGGAAAAAAAAAATAAATGTAATCCCAGTTGTGAGCTCAAGGAGTTTCGGACTGATCAAAAGAAAGACAGGATCATGAGACAGCAGTATTGTGCAACGAACTTTACTGCGGTGTCTGGACAGGGTTGCATGAGAAGGGAAGTCTTCAACGGGAGACCTTCCAGAGGTGGCTGCACAAAGTTACCACCAAAGAAGGGGAAGTGGGCAAGGCAACTTGTAGGAGAGGGGAATCAGAGAGGAGTCTTGAGTTTCTACTCAATGGCAGTCGGCAGCAAGCGGGGAGTGTATGGGTCAGAGAGCTCTGAAGGGCAGAGTAGTCTGGGGACTTTGAGAGCTACAGGATTTGTCTTATCTAAGACTAGCAGACGTCAGGTACATTTGCCTGGGGGGACATGCAAAGCAGGTAGGCTCTAAGTCATTAAAAGTATACCTATTGGGCTATATACAAAGTAACTGCGAGATAGGAATTTGAGTTTTAGACTGGTGGGCTCTGAGCTGACAATCCTGGCATCCTGTGAAGAAGTAAACACCACAGGGGCCCATCTTCAGCTCCTGTACATAGCACCAGCATACAAAAAAGCTCTACACCAATTCTGACACAGAGTTAACAATATGAACAGTATCTCCTGATTTCAATTCTTAGAACAAACCAGCCAAGACGTGAAGAACTTAACCATGGCTACAAAATCCAAGTAAAATCAATTCTTGATAATATAAAATATGAATGATAGAAGTTGGGACCTAAAAAGAGAAGCACAGCTTAAAGGGAGGGGTAAATATCTTCCTTTTACACAACACCGAGTAGGGAGAAATGAGACTGCCTGTGGAACAAGAAGTACTAAAAACAGTGATGGAACTACATGACCACAGAGTGTCCATGTGAACACTTAATACATAATGGAAAAATGGATGGAAGAGTTTAAAATTTACTTCTGCGGGGGCGGGGGGATTAAAGATGGGTAAGGAGTATTACAGGAGAAAGTTGCTTTTATTCACAATCTTTTCAGAATCATTTGATTTTCAAATCCAATTTTTTAATAATTTTTTTATATAAACATATAATGTATTATTAGCTTCAGGAGTATAGGTCTGAATCGCCATGTCAAATTCAATTTTATGTACTAACTTCACAGAGATGTTTTTTACTAATTAAAAAAAAAAAACAGTATCTGTAACATTAACTCTGCTTACCAAAAAAATAAGCCAATTTTGGTCTCTCCTTCAAAAACAAGGACTCCTGTTGGAGTTAGTCCCAAGCTATAGTCATTCCCATCTCTAGCCTAATTTAAGGAGAACGAAATGTGTTAGCTTTATTTGCATAAAACAGATTTTCCATGTTCACAGTTCATTTTCACACTGAATTATATTAACTATATATAGGCTAATATTAATATGCAAAGTGTTTTAAACAATCAGCATACCCAAAACAACATTCTCAGGGAAACTGATACATGCATGTACTTTACTCTAACACCAGTCTTAAGGTATGTCATCACTGAAAATACACTGTGGTATATTTCCACTACAAAGAAAACTCTTTGCAGATTCTGTCCATATTCTATTTAACACTTAAATCACAAACTTTTAAAAAGACTGCCTTTCAGGAAAAATTTAGCTATTTAAACCAGAAATAACTTAAATCATCATACATCTTCTCAAAGTCCTCTCAAGCTATAATTTTAAACTTTGCTTCCTAAATTATTTTAATTTTTAAACAGTCTACTCAGCTTAAGTGATACAAGATGATATGAATATGAGGTGAAAGAATTAAAAATGGTTTAAAAATCTAAAAAATACAATAATAACACCTTAAAAGCACACATGTATCTTTTTGGAGGTTTTTGGTTGTTTCTCTTCTTTCTTATAATGAACCTTCATGTGAGATTCTCATATTTAACCTCAACCTTTATAATACATCCAAAGTACCCAGTGCTATGCCATCTCCGTGCATTCCCTCATACTGAAAAATGCCATAGTTATCTTGAATCTTGAAGGAAAAAACTTTTTAAAAAGCATCATAACACAGTTCTTACCTTGACCACATGCATATCAACCCCATACATTTCTAACCACTTGGCTTTATTCAGGTAATTGGTTTCAGCTTGTGCTGGTGTTTGACCTCTGAAATTCAGAAAATAATAATGTTTAAAATAATAATAAATATAAATTTTATACCAAGAACAGAAACAGAAGAAAACAAATATAAAATCAGTGTGGCCATGTTAAAGAAAAGTGTGATCAAATGTCAAGTACCTGTATTCCTTCCATTTCTCAAAAATAGCCAGCTCCATCTCTTCAGTCTGAATGGGCACAAACCGGAACTCAGATACAAGTTCAGGACTATGTTCAGCAAGATCATAGTCACCAAGTTCAGCTATAAACATAAATTCCACAAAGTTTTATTTTGTTAAAAAGTTTATTTCCTGCTGAATCTTCCTTCAAAACTCATTTTGTTAATAAAAATTGTTAAAATTAGATTCTTTTCTTAAACTACAATTAAGTCATAACACCCAGATCATTCCCAAAAATAAATGTAACTCAGACTAACAACCTGTCAATGTCTATACACACAATCACATACTTGTGGTTGGTGGTATATTTTCAAATAAATGGGTTTCTGTTCATTTATTTCATATCTTATAATGCTTAGCTTTTGAAAACTTTCAAGACTTCCTTAGAGAAATACGTTTTGGCCTTATAATAAATAAACAAAAATACTTAGCAACCTTTAAAAAGGCAATTAGCACTAGGCATCTACTAAGAATCTAATATGCAGAGGAGTACCTAAGGTGGTTCGGTTGGTTAAGTATCAGACTCTTGATTTTTTTTAAAAGGTTTTTATTTATTTATTTGACAGAGAGAGAGATCACAAGTAGGCAGAGAGGCAAGCAGAGAGAGAGAGGGAGAAGGGAGAAGCTCTCTGCTGAGCAGAGAGCCAGATGTGGGGCTTGATCCCAGGACCCTGAGAACATGACCTGAGCCGAAGGCAGGGGCTTAACCCACTGAGCCACCCACGTGCACCCAGACTCTTAATTTGAGTCAGGTCATAATCTCAGAGTTGTGAGACTAAGCCCCATATCAGGCTCTGCACTGGGCGTAAGCCTGCTTAAGACTCTCTCTCCCTCTCCCCCTTCACACCCCCAGCTTGTACACATGCTCTCTCTTTAAAAAAACAAAACAAAACAAAAAGAATCTATAGTGCAGAGAACGTGACATCACACACCACTAAAAGATACAGTCTCGGGTGCCTGGGGGGCTCAACTGGTTAAGCGTCCAACTTTTTTTTTTTTTTTTTTAAGATTTTAATTTATTTATTTAACAGACAGAGAGAGATCACAAGTAGGCAGAGCAGCAAACAGTGAGACGGGGAAGCAGGCTCCCTCCTGAGCAGATAGCCTGATGCGGGGCTCGATTCCAAGACCCTGAGATATGACCTGAGCCAAAGGCAGAGGCTTAACTCACTGAGCCACCCAGGTACCCCTAGCATCCACTCTTGATTTCAGCTCAGATAATGATCTTAGGGTCATGGGATCCAGTCCTGGGTCGATCTCCTTGGTGAGCACGGAGTCTGCCTTATCCCTCTCCCTCTGTTCCTCCCCCTATTTGCATGTTCTCTTTTCTCTCTCTCACATAAATAAATAAATCTTTTAAAAAAAAAAAAAGATACAGTCTCTATCCTGGAATTATAAATTGTTAATCCTAAAGAAGTAACTGAGAGAGGGGCATTTGGGTGGCTTAGTTGGTTAAGTATCTGCCTTCCGTTCAGGTCATCACCCCAGGGTCCTGGGATCTAGCCCAGCAGGAAGTCTGCTTCTCCTTCTGCCCCTCCCCCTCGCTCATGCTCACTCTCTCACAAATAAATGAAATCTTTAAAAAAATGTATTTTAAATTAAAAAAAAACCTTCAAGGAAAATTAGTAAAAAATATTTGGGGAAGGGAGGCAGTAGGAAAAAACCTGGACAAAGCACAAACATTTATGTACACCCATTTGTGGTTATTTCTTGAACTGTGGGTTTGGGAAGCAGGGTAGGTGATTCTAATTTTCTATACTTTAGACATTTTTTCTTTAAAATAATATTTTACTCATATTTAAAAATTAAACTATTTCCACGTTTATTAAAAAAATCCAGCTGTGGGGTGCCTGGGTGGCTCAGTGGTTAAAGCCTTTGCCTTCGGCTCGAGTCATGATCCCAGGGTCCTGGGATCGAGCCCCGTGTCGGGCTCTCTGCTCAGCAGGGAGCCTGCTTCCCTTCCTCTCTCTCTGGCTGCCTCTCTGCCTACCTGTGATCTCTGTCTGTCAAATAAATAAATAAAATTAAAAAAAAAATCCAGCTGTGTAGGAATACATAGATCTTGAGCTAAAAATAAAATTGATAATACCTCACCTATTGAACACTGACTCTACACATTAGACATATTAGAAATATATTGTCATCTATTTTCTCCACAACCTTACAAAATATTTATTATCATGCCAACTTTATTACTAAAGAAACTGCTCTTTTGTCTGGACCATAATTTTTTTTTCAAGATTTTGAAAAAGGAAGCAGGCTCCCTGATGAGGGACTCGATCCCAGGACCCTGAGATCATGACATGAGCCGAAAGCAGAGGCTTAACCCACTGAGCCACCCAGGAGCCACCTGGACCATAATGTTTTTTAAAAAACACAAAACAAAATCTGCTACCTAATGTTCAGGATACATACTAAAATGGCAAGGAAAAACTGAAAGTATGAGAAAAAGTTAATAACAAAAATTATTCTGATACAATATAAAATCATAAATGAGAAACAAAGAACTCATTTTATGGAGATGGGAGTAGCACTTCAGCAAATTTACTCTGAAGGGCCTTAAGACAGGATTTGGCAAACTATTAGACATAGGACAAAGAGATATAGAAGATATGATGCAGTATGAAGGAATCATGTAAATAATGGTGCCCTGGATGAAAGAGAAAGCAGGAAAGAGCTTTTACTCGGGGGAAAAAATGTGATAAGTAGAGTTAAGAGATAACAAAATAGAATCATAATGCATTAATCAAACAGTAAGTACTCAGTAAGCACTACTTTGAATAGTGTTTATTAAATACACAAAAATGTAGAAAATCACATTTTCAAGAAGCACATACCTTGGCTATCCTGACAGTTACACAATGAGACCCAGAAAAAATATATGAGGCCGTAAGTGGCAGAACACATATACTGACAAAGAGAGCTTTTCAGTAGATGAAAGTTTTAGAATTATCAACCTCATACAGGAATTAATAAAATGTAAAAAATGTGCTTTCAAGAAAAAAATGCATGCAATTATACATTTCTGATTATTACAGTGCTAGAGATATAGCATTCCCACGCTAGTATCTGACTTTTTGCAGATGAGAAAGCAAATTTTAACTTGTAGACAGACTAGGATAGTAGATGGAGGCAGGTAGATAATTTACACTAGTGGCAAGTTTTTGAAGTACAGAAATTTCTTCTGGTCACCAATCCCTCTATCAACAAGAAAATATGCTTTCTTAAACAGTGGAAGCACAAAATAAGTAAAAATATTAGGTTTACCATAAAAACATAAAAATTTAGTCTTATTATTATCCATATAATTGCAAATAAATACTACTGATCTAGAGGGATTAAGATAAATATATAATCACCAAAAAAGTATAAATGCCTTAATAATCACTAAATTTTATTTGTATTCTAGTATATACAAATACTACAATAGAATATTTATTTCTGTTTTGTGAATGAGGACCGAAGTTATAGTTTTCTTAAATTGCCAGTTTTTCACACACACACACAAAAAACCTAAGCTTAACAGTGTATGGTCAGTTTAACAAGGTACAAAACTGAGTTTTTCATTAATCTCATTTACTGGAAAATACTTTTTTTTATTGTTAAAATTACTTTAAACTTTAAAATATGCTCTAAGCATTTCTTCCATAGATTCATTTTTAAGAATAAACCTAAAGAAAGCAAAACATGCGACTATTGCAAAAATTTACTCCTATATCCCTGCATTCTTTTCAAGGAAAAAAAAAATAGCATTATACTTATTGAATGATCAAGTCGACTGCAGTTTTTGTTTGAAAATAATGTACAGATGGAAAGGGAGCAAATAAAATGAAAGGAAGAAGTGAAAGTAATAGGGTTGGATACTGATATAAGTTTACATAACAACAGCAGTGTTACTTTTCTTGTGCATCTTTTTGACTCTTTTAAAATTCTTAACTAAAAATATACCCAAAAAATTATACTTTATTCTTAACAGTCAACATAAGAATTGCTTACCTTGCAGATTATAAGCTGCCAGCTGAACTGCTGTATCAAAGGGACACTCTAATCTGAGACCAAAACACGAATTTGTTAGACAAGTCAACTTCATAAGCTTCATTTTAAGGTAAGTGGAAATAATACACACTTTACATTGACCATTTCTTTTTCATAATTAACTATGAATTTATTTTTCAAAATCATTTTCAATTACCTAAAATGTGGTTTACCTTAAATAATACTCACTTTCCACTGAGAATATCTTGTTTTAACTGAAGAACAAATAAATACCTAAGGAAAATAAAAAGCACATATTTAACTAACCAGAAAAATCTACTTTGAAAGATAATTCAACTCTTCTAATGTAAGAAGAAACATTCTTAATTATAGAATTTTATCTGCAATAGACCCTATAGAAGAAAAAAAAAAGAAAAACAAAACAAAACAACAAAAAAAACGGAGCATTGAGCATCAGGAGGATGGTAGCATGTTCATAATAGCAAGGAAAAGAAAAGGACTACAGTACAACCACTTTAAGGATAAAGGTTTTAAGCAAATTTTTGAGAACAAGCTCTGTGATCTCATTTAACTTTACTCTCACAATACAAGTCCCCTCATATGTGAAAGGATATGGGCATGTATGTAACTATGGAGATTAGCTATAATCTCACTGGCAGAGTATTCAAGAGGAAACCCTCCTAAAGGGACTCAGCAACTAATTCAGTTTTTACTTAATAAACAGTATGTGTGTATTAATCATGGATTTACCACATAGAGTCAGTGAAAAAATATGGAAAACAAAATAAAAATAATTGTATATAACCTACTTAAAGTTTGTTTAAAACTATTCAAACCAAATCAGGATCTAATATTTTCCACCAGTCAATGACATTTCAATTGGTAAAGTCATGAGCCAACTTGAATAAACTCTCAGTGGCCAAAGATAGATCATTCTGAACATCAATAAACACAACATCAATAAATATAATATGGCAATATAGTCAACCATACCAGTCCTGTTTAAAACCCATGAGCTGATAATGATACTTTAAAAAAAAAAACTTACTAGTTACCTTTACAGGATGCTAGAGAACCAACTCTTTATTTGGAAAATTGATAAAGGAAAAAAAAAATTATACACTTAAAAACACTGTCCTGGGGCACCTGGGTGGCTCACATGGTTAAGCATCTGCCTTTGGGTCAGGTCATGATCTCCAGGTCTTGGGATCGAACCCCCTGTCGAGCTCCCAGCTCAGCAGGGAGTCTGCTTCTCCCTCTCCCTTTCCCCCTGCTTGCACTCTCTGTCTCTCCCTGCCCCTACCGTCCCTATCTTGGTATCTCTCTCAAATGAATAAATAAAAATCTTAAAAAAAAAAAAAAGAACTGTCCTAAAATGAAATTTTATTTTTTTTTAAAGATTTTATTTATTTATTTGACAGACAGAGACCACAAGTAGGCAGAGAGGCAGGCGGAGAGACAGGAGAAAGCAGGCTCCCTGCCGAGCAGAGAGCCCGATGGGGGGCTCGATCCCAGGACCCTGAGATCATGACCTGAGCCAAAGGCTTTAACCCACTGAGCCACCCAGGCACCCCTAAAATGAAATTCTATTGTCTGAGGTCTTAACCAAAGGCAAGAGATTCATTTCATTAGTGGTCTACAAGCTGGAAAGAATTATAAAGACAATCTTCTAGCACCTTTAGCTAGCTGACCAAAACTTCACCCTGTATAGCTCTAGAATGATCTTACCGTGTTAGCTCTTCACGAAGATTATTTGGTTCTGAGGAATAAAATTTAACTCGAAGATGCAGACAATAAGGCGAACCAACTGTGATTAAAAAACAAAAAACAAACAAAAAAATACTTTAACTTTTTATATAAATATTCAACAAGTAAGAATTTTCAGTCAGTAAATTTGTTAAAAAGTCTACTGAAGTAGAGACAGAAGATAACAGGTTATTATGGCAATATTTCACACACCAAAATATTGTACAGCTTAATTAAAGCCTGACTAACTCAAAAAGATCAATCAGCAGATTTTTTAAACGTACCAACCATCATACAGTACTATCATAATTAGCTGTCCACCCAAGAATAGAGAGTTCTAGATTAATTCTAACAGTTCTGGGCCAACTGCATCAAATAAAAGTTTTGACTGTGCAATCTAACAGCCCTAAAAAAACCTGAGAAGCTACATTTCTTTTGAGTACTGAGTAATGCCTAGGTTATTAACTGCTGATGGCAAGTTCCCCCCTCACTTTCTAATTCATTTCACCTACCTCACTAACTTCTAAATTCTCAGTGGTTCCATTATTTTATAAAGACAAAAGTTGAGATGCTCTAAAACCTCTTATGACAAAGGACAAATGGGATTACAAATTGGACATTGGTATTCTCCCCTGACTATTGCTAGGAATAATAACATTTTATGTGAATTGTTTCGCTTCATTACTCTTAATTTTTAAAAGTTACATCTTTAAAGTCTCAAAATATTTTATAGAGCAGGGCAGATGCCAAACAGGAAAATTCCAACATAAGTAAACTACTAAAAGTTAAGCATCTCATGAGAATTTAATCTCCTTTGCAAGTTGCAAATCCTCCAAGAAATAAACTGTAAAGCACTTGACTCTAGATTACTATTAACCCTATATTAACTGAGCAGGTAGGTCAAAGTATCAAATTGAAATTATCTTTAGAAAGTAGAAATGCTAAGAAATTCATCTGAAATATGATCTCTTCATTAGGAATCAGAGCTTCTAGTATATAATTACATATAATTAAATTCACTTTTTCACAATTTTTTGAACACTTACTTTTTACTTGCTTTTTGATGCTCTTGGTACCATCTAGCCAGTGCTGAAAACAAAAGCAAAAATCAGATGTGAAGCAGATGACAGAACTCAACATTTTCATTAATAAAAGTTAATTTTCATCATGCTTCAGTGATCATTAAAAATATCTCACAAAGAGAAAAACAAAAGTGAGAATGAAAATGGGGGAGGATTATCTGCCCCCAATATCTACAGCAAACTTTACAACACACAAGCAAAAAGTGACTTAAAACCAGATATAGGACTTTTTTTTTTCTTTTTAAGATTTTATTTGAGAGAGTAAGCAAGCAAGAGCATGGGGGTAGGGAGGAGGAACAGAAGGAGAGAGACAAGCAGACTCCATGTTGAAAACAGAGCTCTATGTGGGGCTCAATCCCAGGATCCTTAGATCATTACCTAAGCTGAAATCAAGAGCCGGCCAGTCAACCGAGTCACCCAGATGCCCCTCAGATAAAGGACTTCTTAAAACATTTCCTCTGCTCCCTCATAGTAACAAGGATGACATTTTTAATTCTGCCCTTAGTTTTTATATCCCCCTCCCCAAAAATAACTCTTATAAAAATGTTAAAAGGAAAGTATCCTCATATTCCATTGTCTGGTTCATTCTTGTGATAAAAATATAAGATTTACTAAGAGATCAAAACCAAAAATGAGGGGAAATAACAGTGTCACTTAAATTTTACAAAACAGATAATACTCAGAAGTAGTACTCTTTGAAAGAGCCTACAAAGAGCCTACACTGTAAGATTAGATCTATCTCATTGCTAAGGCCCCACCTATTAAATGAAGCAATCTTTGCTCCTTCGCTTTACAAATAAAAAATGTTAACATTGTGACCAGCAGGCTTCTGGTTTCAAAACTAATAGCTTTTTGATTTCTGTAACCTTCCCACTATGAAATGTCCGTAACACAAACAGACATTAAGGGGCAATTCCAGAGGCTTCCACAGATAAACCATTCTTAGCTCACTTCTATTAATCCCTTTACAACACCAAATCCTAACAGTGGCAGGGTACACTCATCCAACTAAAATATACATGATTGTGTTTTCTCCAGCATGCTTACAATTCCAAGCACCCTAAAAACGAAAGGAGTGCTCTTGTGCTAACTAGTTCACAGAGCTAAAGAATCCAGTTTCAGAAATCCAGATAGGCAAAGACTGGGTAAACAAGGCTACATTGTTAATAGACTTGTAACTATTTGCAGAGCCTCTTCTCTCCATTTTCCCCCAAGATCTGAAAGTGAAATGCACAGAACTACCAGTGTACAAGCAAAGTACCTCTTCATATTGAAATAAGATGCTCAGTTAACATTTCAAAAGGCACTTAAATATTATGCAATATTTTCTCTGGATTCCAAGGGTATAGGCTATTTAGCCATTTCTCATCTTTTTTTTTTTTTTTTTTAAGATTTTATTTTTAAGTAATCTCTACACCCAACGCTGGGCTCAAACTCATAACCCTGAGATCAAGAGTTGCGTGCTTGGGGTGCCTGAGTGGCTCAGACAGTCAAGTGTCTGCCTTAAGCTCAGGTCACAATCTCAAGGTCCTAGAATCGAGCCCCACATCAGGGCTCCCCACTCAACGGGTAGTCTGCTTCTCCCTCTCCCTCTGCCTCCTTCCCCCTGCTCAGGCTCTGCCTCTCTCTCTCTCTCTTTTTCTCTCTCAAATAAATAAAATCTTAAAAAAAAAAAAAAGAAAAAGAAAAAGAAAAAGAAAAGAAGAAGAGTTGCATGCTCTACCCACTGAGCCAGCCAGGAGCGCCCCCCGCCCCAGCCACTTCTCCATCTTTTAATAAATTCAGTTGGACACCCACTTTTAAGCCTATTTCAATCTAGCAACTGTTCAGTTTTAGACATCCCTCCAATAGAATCCTAGGCTAGCCAGCAGAAACACAATTCAGTCTATTAGCAGAAAAGAGGTCAACCCAATACAAATACAGCAAAAAGTCCATCCATCATAGCCAATGCCAGCAACTCAATATCCAAAAATCCCAAACTTAATTATATTAATACCTACCAAAGCCTGATGCCAATCACATATTGGGTATAAGATAAAATTAGTTTTCATACCCTAGATAGTCTTCTACCCACAAAATGAAACCCAGAAGTTGCTCTATCGTCAGGTTTTATCTACTCTACTGTAATGAATTAACAGATGTCTGCTGGTTGCCTGGGCAATCTCACATGCCTATGGTTAGGGTTACTCCTACTCCATAATGAATGCAAATGAACACAACTGTTCCAGGAGGCAATTTAAGGTTGCCCTAAAAATAACTGTCTTTGCCCAGAAATGGACCCTCAAGTCTATGGTCAATTAATCTTCAACAAAGCAGGTAAGAATGTCCAGTGAAAAAAAGTCTCTTCAGCAAACGGTGTTGGGAAAATTGAACCACCACATGCAGAAGAATGAAACTGGACCATCTCCTTATACCACACACAAAAATAAGACTCAAAATGGATGACAGACCTATGCATCAAATCCTTGAGGAGAACAGAGGCAGCAACCTCTTTGACCTCAGCCACAGCAACTACCCCCCACCCCAGACACATCCCCAAAGGCAAGGGAAACAAGGGCAAAAATGGACCTCATCAAGATAAAAAGCTTCAGCACAGCAAAAGAAACAGTCAACAAAACCAAAAAACAACCACTGACAGAATGGGAGAAGTTACTTGCAAAAGATAAAGGGCTAGTACCCAAAATCTACAAAGAACTTATCAAACTCAACACCCAAAGAACAAATAATCCAATCAAGAAATGGGCAGAAGAACAGACATTTCTGCAAAGAAGACATCCAAATGGCCAACAGACACATGAAAAAGTGCTCCAAATCACTCAGCATCAGGGAAGTACAAATCAAAACCACAATGAGTTACCACCTCATACCAGTCAGAATGGCTAAAATTCACAAGTCAGGAAATGACAGCTATTGGTGAGAATGCGGATAAATGCTGCTGGTGGGAATGCAAGCTGGTGCAGCCACTCTGGAAAACAGTATGAGGTTCCTCAAAAAGTTGAAAACAGAGCTACCCTATGACCCAGCAACTGCACTACTGGGTATTTACCCCAAAGATACAAACCATAGTGATCTGAAGGGGCACATGCACCCCAATGTTTATAGCAACAATGTCCACAATAGCCAAACCATGGAAAGAGCCTAGCTGTCCACTGACGGAAGAATGGATAAAGAAGAAGCAAGATACACACATCCATAACATACTTAACACACACAATACTTACACACACAACACACACACACAAGTGCATGGGGGGGGAGTAGTATATTATGCATCTATCAAAAAATGGAATCTTGCCATTTGCAACGAGATGGATGGAACTAGATGCTATTATGCTAAGTGAAATAAGTCAATCAGAGAAAGGCAATTTCATATGATCTCACTGATACATGGAATTTGAGAGACAAGGCAGAGGATCATAGGGAAAGAAAGGGGAAAAAAATGAAACAGGACGAAACCAAAGAGGGAGACAAACCATAATCTCAGGAAACAGACTGAGGGATGCTGGAGTAGAGGTGGGTGGGAGGGATAGGGTGGCTCAGTTTTGGACACTGGGGAGGTTATGTGCTATGGTGAGCACTGTAAATTGTGTAAGACTGATAAATCATAGACCTGTACCCCTGAAACAAATAAAAAATAAAATACCTGTTTTTGACTGAACAATTCTATACCTAGAAATAATTATGGATGTGTACAGATTTACTTAAAAGGAATTATGTGAGAGAAAGTTAAGATTATATATATATATATATATATATATATATATATATATATATGAATATATATATATTCAACAAGAATGAACTGGTTAAATAAAGTATTTCAATATAATAGAATACCATGCATCAATTAAAAACAAGGAAAGCAAATATTTAAGGATCTGGAAAACTATTTATAATATATTGTTAAATTTTAAAAAGCAGGTTACAAAATATAATTGTTTTGTCAAAATGTACAAGTGTATATATAAAAACATGCTTTTTTTCTTTTGGATTGAGATAATCTATAACAAAACAATAACAGATGTTATCTCTAGGGAGTGGATACTGCTGGTGATAATTTTTCTTCTTTGTGCTTTCCTCTATTTTCAACTTACTCTACGAGGAGCACATATTATTTAAAATACTCACAGACCCTTTATTTTAGTATTTTATAAAAATAATTTACTTATATATAGGTTTAATATGGGGGTAGCATTAAAAAGTATATGGTCAACAGTACCTCTACTCCCTGCAATAGGCCACCCCCCAAATACCCAATTTCTATCACCACATGTACCCTCCAACAAGATGTTACTGGTTTGACTCCTTTCAGAGTTTCTTCAAACAGGGAAGGAGGAAAGAAAAAATGTTTATACATGTTGGTAAAACCTAGGGAACATTAATAATGGAATGAACATCAACAGGCTAACTATAAATTTTGACAGAATAAACTTTGAGGAATGTAAGGATGGAAACAGTGTAAGATCACATGCTATTTCAAGAACAATCTATAGTCTTAGATGGTTATAACTTAAATTTGTTCCTGTTTAAGAACATATAAGGGCTAGTCTCAAAAATACACCTTTGGGGCACCTGGATGGCTCAGGGGGTTAAAGCCTCTGCCTTCAGCTCCCATCCTGATCCCAGGGTGCTGGGATCAAGACTTACTTCCTCCTCTCTCTCTCTCTGCCTAGTTGTGATCTCTATCTGTCAAATAAATAAATAAAAATCTTTTTAAAAAATTTTTTTAATTAAAAAAAAAAATACACCTTTAATCTTTAATTTGTACCCTACTATTCTAAGCACATTAAACATAAAATCATCCCAGTGAGATAAGGGATCAGAGTTTTCTTCCAAGCAGGCATTTTAGTCTCTTCTTTACCTGCATATAATAAGAGCTTTGACATCTGCACTCCCTTAAGATGACCCAAACTCAGATAACGCATCAAGCACATTTTAAAGTGAAACTTAAGAGCTGGGGAGTTCTGGGTGATGTTCTTCTGGAAGGTCTGAGCTCATGTTTGCATA